GAAGCAAGACCCAATCTGGTGAAATAAAATAGCCTGAATTACATGATTTACATAAAGGAAATAAATGTTTGTAAAATTGCTATAACCGGAAAGGAAACCTTTCTACTTTATTAGATGTTCACAAATTTTACTACTTATTTAACGGTGATAACCGGCTTCCGCGAAATTCGAATATGAAAGCTAATCCGTGACTGACCAACTAATATTCGTTCACGAATTCAATGGATGAGGGGGGACGAAAACAAGACAAAATTCATGTATGGATTGTCTCCAAACAGATTCATGCAAGATATTACTTGTTTTAATAGAATGCCTGTAGGTTGCTAAGTAAAACTGTTCTTCTCCCATGTGTAGTGTTTGCTTCTCAAATTCGGAAGATCGACAGTTGTTTGAGCTTACTCTCCGATTCAGATATGCCAGACAATTAAAATGTGATTACTGGTTCCAGGCAATAGGCAAGATGCTGTTGACCTAGCCTATGTGCCTGTTTGCATTATTCAGCATATCACTAGGTTATGGAAGAAGATTTTAATACTACTATTTTATTGCGTATGCAGTGGCGTATTTTGGTATATTCTATCGGTGGTAAGTCGTGTTTTAGCCGATCTTCAGCCATAATGCAAATTTCTTTGCAATTAGTATGTTAGGCCAAAACTCTTCAACCTTAAAACCCTGAAGGCCTCATTATCGACCCACTTCGCTACGCGTTTCGTGAAGTTAAGGCGAGAAGCAAGTCGTGTGTTGTTGAATCAATAAAGCTGAATATGAAGTCTAATGGTCATCGAACTAATCAAAAGGCTAACGAAAGTCTTTTCTGATATGCGTAGCATGAAATTTACTCATTTAAATACATCGAAAAAGATTTTATTATTCTAATGGACTTTATTTAGATCATGTAAATGGGCTAATTGACCAACTTCCAAACAAAGGTGAGAAAAAAAAACTATGCCTATTTTTGAATATTTTTGTGAGTACACAACACAAGAAAAAACGCCAAGCAGAGACAACTGAACATTCCTGTATATGGAATTGGAAGTAAACAATGAATGAAATAAAGTCATGCTGAGCAAAAGAAAAGTGATACATTCATATACCTTAAGAGTAATTTTTGAACAATAATCAAAAAGGTTGTGACAAATTACTGTGAAAAGACTTGTATCTGATGTCTGGAATCATTCGAGGAAAACGTATCGTTCAGATGCAGAAGGATAATGTGTGCAGAAAAAATTTAGTTGAGATGTTTACTTCTCACGACATTAAATACTTTTGTTACGCTATAAATGAGGTGAAGATATATTGATGCATAAGTTTCATAAGGCAAATCATACTTGTTTTCCTTTTCCAAGGGAAGAATCCGGCTAGTTCGCATACTTAGACCAATTCACTGATATCTGAACCCATATTCAACTGAAATTTCACTGAAGGGACATTCAGTCTTTTGGTTATGGAACAGACTCCTATAAACTCCATTATTTCAAACTCGTAATGAGTTTGACCACTTTTGATTAGTTGCAGCTATTTGATTAAGAATTCATAATTGTTTACCTAACAGCTTTACTTTTTGTATTTTTAATTCAAAGTAAATAAGAAAATTTAAGGGTTAATCAATGAAGTTAAATTTGACTACTTTTTTCAACAGAATACCTGTAGGTTGATTAGTAAAACTGATGCTCAAGAACACCCGATGACCTTGATGAAAACAAATGACTATTAATAGCAGCCAGAGGGAATTCAGGTCACAGAAAGTGAAGCATATGTTATACCAAAATCCTTCAGTTGCTATACAGAGTTAAAGAGATAGATGAAATTATCACAGTTAGCTAATCTATTATCCAAGTACAGTGCTTCAGGACGACAAACGATTGCTTAGATGAAACAATTACGATGAAAACACTGAAAACTAGTAATGGTTTTTGTTTACTTGAAAAATCAAAATAAATGTCTACTGTTATCTATCGCCGTTGTGTTCATTCTCTTTAGCCTTCGCTACCCACTGCTAATCGCGGTTATTGCACGGAGCTCTTGTCAGTTTACATTTGAGGTGCTTTCACTCTTCATTATGTTTGCAGCCTGCAATAATGCCTTCGCGCGCATCTACTAATTCAGAAGAAGCTGCGGAGAACCAATAACCTCTTCTAACAACTTTCCGAGGGTCAGCTACGGTCCTCAAAGCTGCTTCCACAGCAGAGTGGAAATGGCATCAGGCTTGTAATGTATGAGTGGTGTTATTCTTTTCCAATAACTACTTCCCCAGGTTTTCGTTGCAAGAAGTCTTAGTATTCTCATTGCTGACCGGTGTGCAGAATCGTCTTGTCAATGTATTTTTCACACGCCCACTTAAGTACAGATATAGGCGCACTCAAACGAACGCGTGGCCGCTGTCCAAACATGTACTCCAGAAAAAGCATCAGCCTTCCACCAACCCTATCCAGCGACAACTGGCAGCAACATGGTATATCTTTGTCCATCGCTGAGTTGAGTTCGATAGATGTCACGTCACACAATGTTTCTCTTCATGGCTGAAGTTCGGGCTGTTTAGAAAAAGATGGTAATTGGAGCACAGTTGTGGTAGGCAACCACCGTTATCTGTTCCTTTAGGTGTGATTATCGGAAATACCACCTAAGTCCCTTTCTGTCTGACTTAGCCTACCCACTTGTGCATTGAAATCCTCTGTTACAACAACCATACCTGAATGTTTGGCTTTCAGTAGGAGGCTAGACAGTTTTCGGCAGGACTCATACTTAACTTTTTCCGAACCACAATTGGTGGGTGTGCAAGCAAGGATTATAAACAGTCGATGGCAACTTTCACTATTTTATTTAGCCCTTAATGTTCGGTTCAGTTGGACGGCGGATAGGTGATTCATGACTGGGATCCAGTCGAGCCATACACTTTCTCCCTTAGGGTTCAAAGTTGTATTCACACCTGCAAGACCACCAGAAATAGTCATCGAATTTTCGGAAGCCTGAAGGGTGAATTCAAGTGAATAATCACATTTATGTTGTGTACGCGTGTCATACAAACGCAACACACATAAATAGTCTGAGATGCTAGAGTTTTGGCTTGCGAAGCTTGTTGTCCTATTTGATGGAAGGTGCGGTCATTGGAAGCTGCAATATGCAGTTTGGAGCGCATTTCCAGGAGACCTATGATGCCATTCCAACAGCTCGAATCTTTATCGAGAGCTGCTGCGCTGAAAGAAATTCAGCTTGACGTAGGAATATCAATCGAAAGACGAGAAGAAAGATAAGAAGGTAAGGATGTAAAAAGTTGATAATGAACTGAGGAAACTTGATTGCTGACAGAGTTGCAAGCATAGTTGCCCACACCATGGAGGGCTAGTTCTCCTGGAGGCACCTGAAAAAGAGGAGTAAGTGTGCGAGGACATCCACTTTAAGCCAATCGCATGTGGATGTTTTGCAAGTTTGAGATCTCAGCCTGTTTTTTTCGAATCTGACTATAAGCCTATATCACGGGCAGATTTGCCTCAGTGTAGAAAGGAGGGATTTATTTTCAGGACTAATCTTTTCTAACTTTCCTTCCCATAGAGAAGGCAGCATCAATATGGCATTACTGGTCATCCAAAGCAAACACCTTACTGCTGCTACACCTCATCAAGCCAGCAGTACGATTTGGCACTCACATTCCCACGACAATGTAGCAATTTATATCACAACCGTACCCGTTTTCACTATCCAACAAACCTTTCTGATATGGTGGGACCCTGAAGGAACAAGTATTCCACCAGCATAGCTCGTTGTGTCATTGTGATGTGAAAACCCGACCATCATGCCAACGTAGTGGTTACCGGTCGGACTCTCTACAATTACGTTGATCTGATGATTTTCCAACTATTGCTAACTTCTTTTTCATACTGATATTCACAGATCACGGACTTCAGCTAAGTGCATGTGAAAAACGATCGACCTTTACTGGGATTTGTGAAACTAATTTCGTTGCCCGGACTTACTATCACGTCAACATCTCACGTCTCCAATAGACGAAGCCTGTTCAGAGAAGAAACTCATACATTTTATTTTGTGAACCCTGTTCAGTTATTGCAATAATTAATCATTATAGTCAAATGAACGAATATTCTCTAGCCAATTTGCACCTTCAAAATTCCAAAAACTCAAAGCTAACACATTCTTGAACCCACTTTTACCTGAAACTCCAGCAAAAGACCAATCGATCCATTGAAAAATAAACATACAATGCAGCTGTACATTTAATTCTGAAGTATGATCTCAATAATAAGCCACCACAACTATAAAAACAAAAATATGGGTACTTGATTTTCAATGCTCTCAGGATAAAATCCAACATGGTTATTATATGCATTACATTAAGGTTAGCAATATAATTCTAAAAAGGCAACTGGAGTAATCCACTGACTTTTAACAAGTGAGATGACTAAGTATCTATAAAATAAAAAAGCTATAAGGGAGAACTGAAGGATTAAAAAAGATTGTGTTCGAGCAGATATAAAACGGCATAGTAAAAAAAACTATTGCTAGTGAAATGAAAAATTTGAGATAAATTTAACAGAAACTTTGAGTCGATTACTGTAAACAACATGTCCAAAAAAATTCTCAGTAATAGATAAATATATCCTTAAGTACGTCTGTCATGGTCTCCTTTAAAAGTGCTTACTTATCTTTTCCACACAATCTCTTTCCTCACGCTACTGGAACGTACGGTAACTTGAACTGATTTTTGTGGGAAAAAGCGTTCAATTGAGTGAACTATTGTGAGTGATGACAGAATCAGAATGAAAACTAGTTGACGTGAAATTTGTTTCACAGAGAAAAAAATTAGTTTAAACGAGATATACAAAAGAAAATCTCATTGAATGCCTTTTTAGTCGAGACCGAAAGACCTTTTGAAATGATCTTGACTATTTAATAACTGTTACCTGAATGCAATTAAATGTAAGTATTCTAAAATTTAAGTGACTTTGATTCTATTCAAAATGAAACTTCATTTTAAGTTCACTTACCACAGTATGTCTTCTCGGATGATTATATGCATGATGGCGTCTCAGACGTGGAGTATGATTACGTTCAACGTCGCTGTTATTTGAAGCATCCGAAGAATCTTGAGCTGTTAACAAGTTACCATTTGTTACAGAAATGCCATTTGCTTCCTCTGTTTTCTGTTTACTAAAAGGTATTGACTGAATTAACTTTGATAATCCAAAATCAGCTACAACTACAGAATCATCCTAGAGAACAAACATTAAACTTTTCAGTAATACTTTGAAAGTCAATATAAGATGTGATCATTTGACTAGAAATAAGATTATGCCTCAGAAGTTGATTAAATCACACTTCAGATGTTTTTACAAACAACATCATCATTGTTTATTGATACGGATCACAAGTCACATTCCATTTCGGTTTGTTTATCTCAAGCACAACACAGTGAAACACCATGTTGCTGGATACTTTTTCGGATAATAATAATATTGTTCTATTTGCTGTAAATCTAATGAACAAACTAAAACGGAATTGCAATTTGTCACTTCCTGAGTTCTACACTTACACCTACACAGGTAATATTAATGAAAGAGGGCAGAAGATATCCCCAGTAGCAGGTATAAAAAGGAAAAGACAAATGACTGTAACATGGTCGAGAGATTATTAGTGCTTACCGATAAACACTTGAAAGTTGTATAGACTTGTGATCAACAAAAATCAATCTACTAGTGCTTGTTTAGACGTAACACACTTTTCTCACTAACACTGAAATACACAGGACTTATTCGATAATTGTTGTGGGTTTCCGTCGATTCGTTAATGTGTTATTACATGAGAATACTTTAACGCTTGTTCATCTAAAAAACGAAATTCAACACTCCTCATGTAACTGACTTGCTTTCTAAAATAGAAAAAACTAAATGTTTCAGTTGGGCACACTTCATCTACGTGTCATGAAACAGAAAGCGTTTAATTCGACCTGGTAATATCCCTAGTAACTACCCTATAATAGGATTTCGATGAAACTCATTTAACATAAAATTTCCTCAAGGTAACAACTAATTTCTATGTGAGTTTTTCTAAAGTAACTTGAACAAAAGTAGACCGAAGTATCTTCAGTGAAAAATAAAGAACAACAGACAGACATGTGCACCATACGCCGCTCCATGTATCCGTGCAAGTTATCATACTTTGAAACAATTTAGTGAGGAAAACCTAACATCAGCAAAAAATACTTCCATGAACGGAGGATACGTATGTGTTTAAAACAGTACAAATCCATGAATTAATTAACTAAATCCAATTCAAACAGTCAGAGATTTATGAATTAAGCTATGAGGCAAATTTGTTGTATGAGGACTCATGATATTACCCAGTTGCCCGGCCCAAATTGGTTAGCGTGGTATTTGAACCTGAGACCCATTGCTTGGAAGTCAAGCTCTTAAACTAGTAAGCTACATCTGTGAAAGTTGACTAGTGGTTTGAGTGATGTGCAAAGTATGAAGTTCTTAGCCAAATAAATAAATGACGTTTAGTTAACATAATTCAAAAGCGATCTGATTGGAGCATATGTTATCATTCTTTATCTTCCTCGAAAGCTTAACTAAATAAATCTTCTGTATTTGTTAATTCGAGGTTCCCCAATGATTTCTCAGTTTGTTTTTATTAATTTTTCTTGCTACTGTGGATTGTGATAGCTCGAACCAATGTGGTTATTTCTGAGATTGGTTGTTAAGCTGCTTATTCGCAATTAACTCAACATCGCTGAATAATTACAAGGTAAGTACTGGATATTCAAAAAAAAAATTAATAAAATGCATGTATAGATATTCCCATTCATAATGTAGTCAAAAAATTGAACGTCAAACAGTTCATTCCTTTTATAAACGTAAATAAAGTAAGGATAGGGAGCAAGTGAAATAAAATAACAGAGATTGGTTTTACTCTACAGTTTCAAAGTCTTCTTATGCCTTAAGACAGTTTGCGCACTGAAAATGAAAGATATTTACACACTTTAGTTGCGTGGACTAAAAAAAAAGATTGAAACAAAATGTAGTCCGTGACGTTAGTTTTCCCTCTTTTGAAAATATTTTTTGTTTCAACCCGCTTTCTAGTTTGGCGCTCCAAATAATTTCCTCAACCTTTGTTGAACACTTCATTTGCTGATTTCAAAGTCTGTTACCATGTACTACCCTCCTGAAATATTTATCTATATTAACCTCTGTGCCAAACTGTTACCAAGTGAATCCTTGTGAACTAGGCAGGGAATCACATGAACTATGTGGAAACTATTTGGTCCTATCTGACCACCTGAACCTGTGCAGGTGTAACTGACTTCGATCGTAGCATGTGTTGATGGTTCAAAATTGTATATAGTCTAAGAGAATGAACTGAATTCATCATACTTACTCTATAGTTGATCAATACTTGTTAATCTTGCCGTTAAGTACTATTTATGCCAAATTGGATTGTTAGGTTACAGCGTGGAGATGACGATCACATGTATTTCTTTTAAAGCACAAACTAGTTGAGTGGATAGATAAAATCCTGCTCTTCACTCTTAAGTTTCTGACTTCAATTAAGTTGAAAATTTAATCACTAACTTAAGGTTATCTCCAATCTCATTTGAACCTTTCTAGATGAAAAATGAACTTCATTCGCGGTAGCCATTATAGAAAATTTTTAAATAATACTCGGAAATTTCAAACAATAAATTTCGGTTTTACCACCAACTGAACGATAGTATTACTTATTGACGATAAAATCCTGAAATATTTATAAATTATTATGTATTAACTGGATTTCACTCCAAACTTCAGTACTTCAATATTTCATGTTATCTCAAGCAACTTTAGTTTACTCATTTTATAGGTAGAAGCATGACGATTCATTCTGTTGATGCATTGTGTATACTCAATGTACACCAAAAAACACTAAGGAACACTGATAGTTGATTTTACTTGTAGAAGCTCTTCCGATTTAATGACCTTTTAGTGAACCACCTCTCTCAAAAACAACCTGATTAACCTTGAACTTTTCCAAGTGAGATATATTTCATTGTTGGTGCAGGTAGCGAAACTTGACAAAATTACAACTAGAAGCCAAAACGAGAGAAGATACTAAGGCCACAAAAAGCAGACAGAAAAATTAACGCAGAATCTGCTACAAGAAGTACACCAGCACAAATGGGCACACTTTACAGCAGCAAGTAAAGAAGAAGTGGACAGAAGAAGAATGGCATTCTTCATATAGACAAAAAGTGCAGGAAAGGAAAGAGAGTAAATGAAACTATAAAAAGAAAAAGGAAAGACCAGTTTTGTTAAAAAGATGAAAGATCTGGTAATAATTACATACCTTCAATGCTTTTATCTCACATTAACATTCGCTACGTGACACTGGTTTTTGTCATCATAAAATAAAGTTTCAGCTGAACGTTCTCCTACTCTTGCTGAAGGTTAGTAAGAACTAGTTTTCATGAAACCACCTATTTTTACTGGTCATTAATTTCAGGTCACTGGTCGTTTTTTCTATTCTTTTCTTAGATTATGCAAGTTTATCAAACAAACTAAGATAAGCAGTTATGATCAGCAGATTTATCTTTAAGGTGCTGATCATGAAAGCTTATTAGAAGCCTGGATTACATCAGGATTTAAAGCCTGTGACTCAGCAACCACATGGAAGGCCATATGGAAGGTTGTGAATGATATTTATTGTATAAGAGTTATTGGTACTACATGACTATCACGCCCTCGGTATATGGAGTGGCATTCAAACCTGCGATCTATTGTCTGAAAGGCGGATGCCTAGATCAATGACCCACAACTGCCAAGATAGGATTTAAATCAAGGGGTTGGTGTTCCTTCTACTGAATCTCCAAAGTTAACTGCTACGGACGTCTCAAAATCAACTTCAGTCACCGAGCTGCTCACACATCTGTAACATGAACGAGTGATACAACTGTTTTTATACCTTAATTGATTGGTTAACCTGGTTATTACTGTATGTACAGAATTTGGACACTGTGCTACAATGTAATTCTATATTATATTAGTTTATTTGATATAGCACACAGTAATAGAGTATTATGTGCTAGATAATAATAATAAATAATCCTCTATCACAGTGTGCTATATCAAATAGACTAATCCAATATGAAATTACCCTAGTCATTTCGTTTTATTCAAGTTAGGATGCGTCAAATATGGGGAGCAAGTGACTTAGCAACTTTACAGCATAAAATATTTTTTCTGATAGATTGATTTATATGTCCGAACAGGATGTAAAACATCATGGTCATAACAGATTTTTGACCAGTTGTCATCTGTTTACTGATCCCAAAGGGATTTCAGCAAGAAAGCTTGAATAACTGTCCCTTATATTGTCATGATAATGAAGGATACGTAATACATTGAAAGTACTTACCTGTCGTACAAAACAATTGTGCGTAGTTAGGTCACGATGAATAACTTCATGTTTATGCAAATAAGCCTTTCAAAAAATGAATTGATTAAAAATTAAGTCATTTAATTTCAAAATAAGCAGTTAACAAGTTAAAACACAGTTCACGTTGAAGAATAACTTAGACTGTCAAAAGAGTATCTCAATGCTCCTTCAATCGATACAGAATTGAAGATAACATATTTGAAGTTTATAAGTCTATCTTCAGCGGAAATCGCCTTTAAACTTCATTCCTTTTGTATGCTGCGTACGTCCTCTCAAACTTTAGCCATTATTTGACGTATAAACTAAGTATTATTGCAATCGACCAACCTTGTAGACTTAGCTAGCTTATGATAACCATACAGTTCAAAAGTTGATGATTCATCCTGATCATTTTTCACGAATATTTTGATGTGATATTAGAAAGGGTAGTGTGGCGAAAGATTTGACACTGTTCGATTGATGAGCAACAATGAAAAGAAAAAACAAAGACATGGTCACTTTTGTCTTATTTTCTTCACGTACTTACTGATAAAAAGAAGGGAAAGTGTTTCAATACAAGCTTACGAGGAGAATGAAAATTTCTGATCAACCCTGCACACTACTCTAAAACATTTACTGAAAAATTAGTAGAATAATTGAGGTCAATCATTGTAGATGCTCAATACACTTATACTGGCCAAAATGCTTACTTTCTACATAACAATGAGGAAAATTAACTTTCAGCCTAATCACAACATGAAAAATTACAGTACAAGGGTGTTTTGAAGGTAGAGTGGTGGATGCAACGAATTCTTAGTAGGTTATCAGTTGTTGTCACAGGTGAATGCAACCCATCCGATGCTCAAGTTTAAGGTTAAAAAAACGCTTAGCTCTTAAACTTACTCAGAATTTTGACTTTTATGTATTGGATTCAATGAAGAGTTCCTCTTAAAAGGGAAGAAGATAAGGGCAATCCAAGAAAGGAAAACATGTAGACGAGACCTCAAGGTTTAATTTGTCGTTCAGTTTGTTAATCCCCTATTTGTTCCTAAAAGTATGTGGTTGTTGTTTTCTTGTATTCAACCAAGAAACAGTGATCAATTAAATATAGTATCCCGGGAATTCTTCGTTAACTTTCTCCTACTTGCATGTTCCTACGTAAAAATCTTAAAATAACGTTCTTCACAACACTCTTTCCCAAAGAAACTAGGTTTAAAGGTTATCTTGCTTCGATATTGATCGAATGGCGTTGAAGCCAGTAATGACATTATTAATGACCAGATGGAAGCCATGCAGTATGAAAATGGTGGAGATCATAAGTTGTAGGGTTTCAAAACAAACTGTTCGGATTTTCGAAGATGAGATGATTCTATTTAGGAACTGATGATCTCCAGTCTAATAGATCAACAGTCTCACAGCAAAACTTCGAGAAAGATCAATACCTCATTTGCTTGAGCAATTAACCTCTCAGGCAACGGGTCCTGGATTTAATCCAAATCCACTAAATTAGTCCTAGAAAGCTGGACAGGATCATAAACTCTAATAGGATGAGTGTGCTTTATAATTCAAAACTTCGTTGAGCTACAACTCAGATAATGATATAGAGTTTAACTCCATGTTAGCTTACTTGTCTGATTAAGCATACAGTGACATTTTGGATACAGTTCATTATTTAGGATGATGTAGAAGAGACATTGTTCGATTATGAAGAGCAAACTGTATAGAAAACGATAATATATCACTAAATGCTGCATCAAATAAGCAAAATAGCATGCAATAAGACCAAAATGCATGAAAATGACACAGTGTCGACTCTAGGTTATCTGTTAAACTATTAGAATGGATTAAGATGCCAATCTGAATGTAGGGTAGTATGATATTAAAAGAATGCTGAACTTGTCGGACTCATAACTTCGAGTGGCCGTATGATACTTGTGTGGGAATGGATTATAACTGGATTGACAGTTAAAGACTTCGATGGGATTGCCTGAATCAACAGAAGCAACAGATGTTTGGCTCAGCATGATGCAAGCACATGAAATGAGAAGGTAGGGTGAAAAATGACGCTTCGTAATTAAGTACTTGATCTTATTTGTAACACTGATAATGCCATGTTTGGAGACTCCAGGTGAGATGGCTCAGAATCTGTCATTGGCGTAAATGCATTCGCACATTATCTTCAACTTAATCGTCATAATGAATTCAGTATTTCTTATTCTTCCTTCTTTTTTTTTCAACTGTTTTTTCTACTGCTTTTGACCGATTCTTCCTTATTTCTCTCTTTTATTTTGGTGTTTTGTTGCTTGATGTGCTGATATGAGGTGTGGCGACTTGCACCATTCATCGGTAATGCCTGATCATGTACGCGTATTCATTCACTCATGGCAGTAAAACAGCACTATTTAATTGAAAATAAAACCATTTATTGATTTAAAAAATTCAAATCTATGATGGTAGTAACGTGAGAACAGAATAATAAACATGTATAGACATGCACAGAAAATATTATGTTAATCGCTTTAGTCATGCCTTAATAATAATAATGACAATAATAACCACTTTATTCCAAAAAGTATGTTTCATACAGTTTGGAATTCTCAGCAAGTTCATTATTAGAACAATCTATCCAAGCGAAATGATTACTGCATCCAACTGATGTTAATAATAACACTATTGAAAGCAATAACGTAGAACAGTCAGATGGTGTTGGATTAGCTTCATATTTGGAACAAAGGAAATGCAGAAAATCGAACGTAAGTTTGGTGGTGACGATTAATTCAGCTAATACAAGAATCTGCCGTTCGAGCTAAGCGTCTTAGGAATGGAAATATAATGAATTTTTGCATAAGGAAAAGTCCCTTTCCCTAGAACATGACATTTTTTTCTTCGTTTTGTTATCTACTTGAGAAATGGCTAGCTGAAAACACTTTAAAACTGTGCAAGAGTACATAGCACGCTTAGAAGACATAGTTAAATGATTACAACAAAGTGATATCAAAGAAGTTAACGTATATGTTTAATGGAAAATTTTGGTAGCCTAAGGTTGTGCAGACCGCCAAAAATTCAATTCAAATTAATAATATTAGTATTCTACCACTAGAGCAGTTAAATAAATGAAAAATAAATGAAACTTGCCATGCCTGATGCAATATCACGACTGAACGAAGTTATCTTATTCCAGTCAAAGGGATATGTCATCTTGTCCAAACATAATACATGTAAACTTCCTTTAGCGATAAACTCAGTAATAAGACAAAATTGTTTGCTTCGAATAACTACACCAATGATGCTTAAAATACATCGATGTTTTAAATTTCGAAGAAGAGAAACCTAAAGTAATTGAAATACAATCATTTGGTCAAGAGTTTACAATAAAACTACACTACATAGTCAACGATGCAAGATTAAAGTAACGATTAGAAATATTACACATACAGCAAATTTTATGAGAACAGGAGCTAACTATATAACTGAATGCAAACACCGTAGGCAAAGACAAATGTTCAGTTTGTACGGTGACACAAGATGTAACTTCAGCCACCTCAATGTAACAATAACGATTGTATCACTACAGCACGAAAGCTAACCAACAACTTCCGCACTCTCTCAACCTGAGTCAATACGCAAGAAGAAGGAAACGGACAGGAGGTGAAGGACATCTATAAACATACATCACTGCAATTCGTTCGAACCGAAATCAATCAATGGCAGATTAAAAAGATAAAGTCTTAAAAAGAAGAAGCTTGGTCGAAATTGGTAAGAGCAACAGCCATATGATATAAAGAGATATGCTAAGAGATACCAAATCTAAATTTCATCCAAACGAAAACCTATGAAGCATAAAAATCCTAATTTACTTCAAGCATGCCTGTGAGGCGATATTATTCTAAATCAACCACTAGTTATATGTTTATTCTATGGGACTCTGGTTGTTTCACCCCTAATAAATAAAAGCATTGTGGTATGATCTATGCCAAAATCTAGAGAGAATAAAAAACTATGTGAAATTTATTCACCATGACTTTTTTACTTCTTAGTTCTTCTTTTTATTGAAATAAGCCCATCAGTGCTTCTATATGGTTCAGAGACTTGCTGCATCATGAAAAGCATTTCCAACAAACTACAGACATACATCAACAGCTTACACCTAAGCTCAATCAATACTGAAGATAAGATGGCCAGAACAATAAGAATAAACAACAAGGAACTCTGGCCGGCAACGATCCAACCAAGAACCCATCGCCCAACAAATATACAGAAGAAAGTGGAGATGGACTAGACATGCACTGAGAAGACCATTTGGGGACATAGGCACATATTAATTGAACGATCCTAGTCAACACATAGTGAACAGCATTTGGCAACTCTAGAACTAGCTGGAAGTAGTTAAAGTGATCAGTTTGTGATATACTACAAGAGCATGAAGGCCAATTACGTTAAGTTAGCCTTGGATACGACACGAAGGCATTCTTTGCAAAGGCATAGAATATTTTCGAAGTAATGACCGAAAAAGCTGAATAGAAACAGGAAAAAGAGTAACAACTATTTCATAGAAGGTATTTGGATCCAGTTATTTACTCAATCAGAAAATCAACTAAAACAATGAAACAGTTTTCTTAACAAATGATTATTCTTGGTTAAATCACAGTATACTAACATTAGATTGTTGAGTGTCAAAGTTAAGTCAATAAACAATTTGGTTGCTGTGATAAAACAATTTTTATAACTTATTACTGACAACCAGATTACTGCAGTGTTCAGTTGTCTGCACAATAATACTATAATAAATGAAAAGAGTAGACAGGATATAAGAGAATACTAACATTGTTATATAAATATAAAAGAGCATAAGCCTGTCTACATACTGTATTAGTGATGTTCAAAAGTCCACATCTCACACTAGATGACTCATGGTCCGAGATATCATGTGATGTCTAAAGGTACATAAAGAGTAAATGTTGAAAAAAATGATATCTTGCCACTTATTTGAGGCTCTCATTTGGTTCTTTTGCAAACACGACTTTCCTGACATACTGAACCCGTATTACTGAAACCGCCATAATCTTTAGTACGTGTATCATTTAATCAAAGTAATCTTATCAAGTTATTAAACTCAACTTATTTCGACTCACAGCGAGTTGATCGTCAATTCATCTGACAGTGAGTTCTAACTATTATATGAGTGCTGCGATAGTAACTGACCGTCTAAATCTCGATAATTTGAGTGAAATTGTAACCCTTAATCCTTTAGTTGAAAATCGAATACTTAATCAGACAGTACTATGTACTGCTTCTAATTACTTTGAACAACTGATTTAGTAATTACAAATGGTGCAGCATTTTAATCAATGATTTGAAACAATTTACTCTGAGCAACTACACTGATGAATGGAGCTTTTGGTGTCATCCATATTTTCTAAGCACAACGAAATTATTACGGCTTTTAAGATGCATTTTTCAAATAGTTTTATGATCGCATCTGCTATCAGTTGACAAAACTTCATTGACTACCTTCAAAATTATAGAACAAGACAGCTTAGAAGTACATCATACGTGAAATCATATTGCGATTATGGTATCTAGTTGAATTTGTGCACATACCTATTCCATTACTTTTAAATATAAATAAGACGAAAAGTTACTCACTTCACGCACAAGAGTTTCTTCAATCTCCTTACTTTGTTCTATAACCTCTTTAAGAACCAGCAGACACCCCAGCTGTCGATGTTTCACCTGAAAAACAATAAAGGAAAACTAAAATAATATTTCAGTAACAGATGCATGCTAAATAGTAAGTAGCACTCAAAAGAACTGTATGGTCTATCAAGAGTGAGTTTCTTTACTGAACCACTTAACCCAATAATTTTCTACCTAACTGTATTATAACTTAAGATGAATATTCTCTCATGATCAAATAAGACTAATCCTCAAAATAAATCGTTCAATCATGTCGAAACACAAGCTCACTATTATAAATCATATTTTCGATCAGTTACTAACTGACAGAGATGAGATCTCCCTAAGTTCTAGTGAGAAGTCGTGACCGGTGGGGTAAAACAAGTTAGATATGAGAAAAGATACTAATTGATGGAATAGGATGAAGGTCACGCTACCTCACGAATCGACAGAAGTAGGGAAATGTAGACCTATGGATTCAGACCCAGTGGTTCACTGGTAACGTGTTTGCCAGGAAACCTGAAGGTTCCGAGTTCGAACCCTGACAGGGTCATGGGTGCGCACTGCTGAGTCCCATACAGGGATGAAACAGACGTCCAGTGTTTCCAGGCTTCCAGCGATGCTCCAACTGATGTCAATCCGTAATGAATACCAACTTGAAACATGTCAGTACCGGAACAGAAAACATGGAACAATAGTTGAAGGCTTTTGATGTTAGGTTAAGGCATAACGAAGATTTAGTACATCTATGAAGTGCACAACTATACCACTACTTATTTTCATCATACATGAAGAAGTTCGTCAAAATAGGCATTGAGAATCATTTTCAAAAAGAATGATTTCAGCAGCAGATAACATGCATGCTCTGATAGTCAAACGTTCTGTATCTACAGATGCATGTTACTTTCCCTTTATTAATCCTAACTTCAATACTAGATCGATTTTATATTTATAAACAAAATGATAAATTCAGGATCCATGTATAATATGAGTATTGCACTGGATTTGAAGAGTATTTTACGTACACTTTCGATCAAAATTCTAAATCTAATGATTTTTATGCTGCCATTAATTAAAATATTCCAGTACAAGAAAATACCAAATTTTAAGAAGGCTGAAGTCTTTATCGATGTTTATATCTGTGACAAATGAAAGTACTAAATATAATGCGACTCAATTCGGTACAGAAATTTCCTAGGCTATGAGCCAAACTTATTCTGTGTAGGTTTCTGGTAACATTCGGTTGCCCAGGTTGAAGGTCTGGCGGAATCTAAGCCCAAGAGTCTCCGCTTGAAAATCCAATGTTCAGGTCAGTGAGTCAAATCTAATGAGTGATGAAATGGTCGAAGTAGGGTATGTTCTAGAAATATTTGAAGTCAGTTAGGCAAAATGTTGTTGACAAACTATCTTTTAAGAGCAACTTTAGAATATTTATGGTCGTTAGTGAGGTTGTTTGTGATTGAGGCATTCGGATGAATCCATGGTGGTAGTGTTTTTTAGCCTATCGTCAAATCATTTTAAATAGAAAAAATACCAAACCCAAGAAAAATTGTCTGAAACATTATTAGAATCTGCCAGACAGAACTTTCTACACTGATCTTGTACTGTCTTGCCTAATTACGCACGTGCACACAGATCCTGCCTTTGACTCACTTCACTGTGCCTTTCTTTTAATCGATTACCACCACTTTTATGCTTCTGCTTCCTAATGTGGTGATCAATATTGGTAATACTAATTGCTAACTTGGAAAATACTTAAAATAAACTGACTCAAATATAGGGACCTCAAAACACCAAATAAAATTTAGTCTGAAACGCTTAAAAGAGTTTAAACACGGTTAGCCACATTGGTCCATGATTTATTTTAGTCTTATCAATGTGTATGTAATCGCTAACACCCTTGACTGTTGTTCCATTCTTTTGTTAACCACTGATCTAAACGAGAGAAATGTACAGCTACCACTTATGGTTGGCACGTCCTTGAAATACTTCATCATCAGTGACATGAACTAAAAGTGTGCTTCAATACAAACAGGTTTGACAAGTGCCAAAAAACATGCATAGCATGTGTGCTTAAGATACTAATATACTATCTTTCTAGCAAGGTACAGAGAAATGGTGTTTGAAACTACCTGTGATCAGAATGAATTAATACAGATTTGGAGCACAAGATTTGCTCATACGGTTATTAGCTAACCTCAGGATTTTAAAGTAAATATTCCTTCTCAAGGAATAGTGCTTGCATACATTATATATTGACCAGTTAAACACTGATACAAGTAAATAGTGAAAATCTTTACCCATAGTCAATTTACAAATGAAATATCTCATTCTTTTCGACATTTTACAGCTGGTTTAGCTCACAAGTGACCGATGATTCGGTAAAAGCTTTCTATAGCTTGACAGTTTTTTTAAAGGCAGTAAAGCACGAAACGACTCAGTGTAATAAACTTTGCTTTGTCTTTCTTTCCAATTCTTAAAACATTATATGATGTATCTGAAGAACTTGTATTGAATTCTTCACAAATAACCATCGTTACACAGTAGCTACTTGCATCCGAAGACTTACTTTGATGGCTCGACCGTACGATCCACTTCCGATGACTCCTAAAATCTCTAAGTCTTTCTCATCAATATTTGGAGGAAAATCATGCGACGACCTGACAGAAGTCGTTCGAACCAAAGAAGAACGATCACATTCTTCTTGAATTGTGCACTGTAAATTTGAACACGAGAACGCACATCTAGATTTTTAGTGATATTCCAAAGATTATTACCCACGATCCCTGCTGCCAGTCCGACAAGATGTACTCTAAAAAAGTGGAGATTACTTTTTCGCTAATCAAAGTGATCTTACAGATAAGTGTTTCTTAGTTATCATTTTCCTGATTTAAGGGTTTTGAGTTCCTAAAAAGTCAAAAAACCTAGAGCACATTAATCATACTAAATTATACATTGTGTAAAAACCTACAATATCAGATTAAATTATAGGGGAAAAAATCCAAAGTAAATTTGGTGTGGTTGCTTCGCATTGTGATAGTAAGTACGACTTACTTCACTACCAAGAGTATGTAATAAAACAGATGCCAAAGATAACCCGATCTGGAGATAATTTAATATGGATTCTCTTTAAAAACGTCACATTCTCCCGTGAACGCATTATCAAGCACAATTTGTCGGTTTTGATACTAATTTTATTATGAAGAAGGAATATTGCAATTATTCAAACTTCAGTCACGACAACATTCCTAACTTATACACAGCACCGAAAATCTTCAATAAAATTTTATACCAGTGAAGGCCCCTTCAGTAATGTCAGGATTATGTATCCATACGTGCTGGTTATGTCAAATATGCAGTATCACACACTACAAAATATATCATTCAGATTGACTTAAGCCACTGTTAAATCAGAGCCAAGAACATAAATTCAGTGTACTTATTTGCAAGCAACCATAATGAATCAACAATGTGAGAGGTAATTAAAGTTAGACGAATACTTGGAGATCAAAATAACACCAGAAGTAACCAAAATTCAAACGAGAGAGTTAAGAAAAGTGAAACGGAATATTATAAAGTTTCAGGACAGAGTTAGCACACTTGCATCGCAACAGCTAATCTCAAAAGTTTGTTGCCCGAGAGGTCCATCTGTTTCGTAACCAGAATATCTATAGCTCACCACATTTTAGGTTGAATTTCATAGCATACTGCTAAGCCTTCATCTGAACATCTTGAGGATTCTCATATCGTGCATTCAAAATTGTTAGCTGATTATTCTTCTTTACGTAGCGATTTGCGCTTAACATAAACTTTCTTCACACATCTGTTTGACTACGTCTGACAAACACTCTAAAGACATGGATGATGAGATGTAAACAACCTAAATATAACATCTAAATTTTGTGACCGGTTAATAAAATACTTTAGGATATATTTAATCTAGAAGTTTGTCACACTCCAGTTCGATCATTTATGTCACTTTTCTTGTCAGAAGGACTAGCAGTAAAGTATTTACTTTTACGGCTATGACTATGGGGAAGTAAGAATAAAAAGATAAATTTGCTGACACCAAGAAATCTGGTTGGCAAAAACAGTATTTAATACATCAACCGTGAACCAAGTAAAAGTATTTGCAGTGGAAAGTATGTCTCTATCTAATCTTGCATCTACTGCTGTTCTTATGGTCTAGTAAGCCTGGTGAGTTAAGAAACGCATGTGAGACAAACCTTCACTCGCTTATGTTGCTCTTCCCTTGGTGTTGACAGTCAGTAGGACTAATGTATTCTCGACATTCTTAAACACAGCCACCAATCGCAAACCACTTTTGTCATAAAGATTTCGTTACAAAACCTTCCCCCAATCAAGTATTCTTTAAGGTAAAGGAGTAAGCAAAGATACAGAATGCAGGTTATGATCAGCTTTTATATCTTTGTCGTCACTTGCTATAACCTTGTAGTGACCACCTGATATAACCTCAGTTATATATAGGTAGACGTTTGTACAATAACTTTTAGATTCCGTCCCGGGAAAATTAAATACACTATTGAAAACATAACCACCATGTCATCTTTATCCAGTCATTCTATAGAGCTCCTTTGCATTTTCAATGCAAAGAATTCATAAAAATGGACTTTAAATTTGATGCATACATAAAACGCTCCAGCTAATTTTAATAGAAAACACAGGACTGTACGGGATGAAGAGAAGATTCAAGCAAAGTGACACAATTGAAAACGTTCACCCAGTGGCTTTGCTACGTTAGTAAACACACACAAAAAATGACAGACTTGACAGGAAACATTTAAACGACAAATAGCTCTCCGAACCAGTCACACCATCTGACGTCAACAAAAGGTAGGTAACTTATTGCTTATCACGTTTGGTGACCAGTGCTCAGAGCCTGGTTTTCACTGCCTAACCATACTCCTCGGGTAAAAGTCGAAGTCATTTATAGAATTTTGTGACAGTTAAGATTTCATAAATAAGCAACCGAACAAGTGAAATGATAACAAAGAACTCTGCCGCCTATCTTTCAAAAAATGAATGAACTCTCTACACCTCCCTTAACTATGTCTAAGTACGTCGAGGCTCAACATCAGCACATTGTACTTCGTAAAACAAACCTGCATAAATCACAACAAACTGCATGACTAAACGATTCCAGACTTCCCACTGATTAATTTCCATGGGCACTATGGTTGGAGGTAGCGGAAGTAAAAACTAACCTATGATGTCGTAAGTAGGCACAAAAGCAGATTCAAGGAAATAAAGTGCGTATGAGATAGTGTGAAAGGACTAAACAGGAAAATCTCCACAAACATTTCATGAAAAGCCGTTTCTTTTTTTTCCACTGCAGTGTCCATGCAGAAGTTAAACCAGTTTCTTTCACATGAATTCGTCCATATCTTTGTAGACTATTTAGCCTTTGAAGCTTGGACTTAAGAAAAAGTGTATGAAACAGATTTAGTATCAAACGACAATGTAGCACTACGAACTAACTCTTATCTGACAAACAGAACAATGGAGTACATGTATCAGTAACTTTTCCATGGTTGTACACAGTTACTTCCTACACCTCCGCAAGCCACTGATTCATATATTAGTGAAAAACATTGTTACGAAAGAAATATGAAATTGAAATGCGCACCTCCCTTAATCCTGGCCTATTTGTCGACCTCCTTGAGATCTGATCGATTACTCAAGGTGATGTACGCTCTATAACTATGACCACTATTCTTTAACTCCACCAGTTTCTGAGCATTAAAGCCCGTTCACAGAGCCCTTTAGAGATCCAATAGGAGCATTAGGGGCATTATGCTGATGCGTACTACAAGTTATTTGGGGAACGGGATCCAAGCAGCAAGCTCACGCTTTAAGTATGAAGCGAACACATCAAAAAACACCAATAATGTGGAGGCTAAAATGATGAAAGCGCTAACAAGTTCCTGCTCTAGAAGCTTAAGAAATGCAAACAGAAGGCATCACTAAACGCTGCTATCTTTATCACGATCTGATAATTTGAAGCGATCGAAAGTACTGCTCACTAAAAGATCAAGCTTTATCAGATATTTTCTGAGTATCACTTATTTCAAAAATAAAGAAAAAACGAAGTAATCATAAACTGATACCAATACATACACGTAACACCCGATTTCAAATTCTTAGTTATGCAATTTATGCTAAAAAGACAGTGACGTAAGTGATTAAAACAACCACCTGGTCTCCAATATCTGTATAACGAGCTTGTGCAAACCGGTCGATTTCTTCGGTCTCTATTCTAGGTTTTCGACGGATTTCCATGCAGAAGATTCAACCAATCCCCTGCTATAGCTTTGGTATACCCAACAGGTGGTTGGGTGTTGGTTAGTTTGCCTGGGACTACAGCGCAGTTGGGTTCTTCAAATGTCGAGTTGCCAGACAATTTTTCATACTGGTTGCAGGTCACCATTAGGCACAGTAAAGAGATAATCTATGGAGACATATACGTACGATTAAAAAACAAGGAAAAACGAGATGAAGGAGTATCTGCCTACACACAATTAGAACGAGAGGTGTGCGAAGATTCACCTTCAGTTTCAGTTTCAGAAATCTCCTGCTACCTAGATTCCGCGTACAGGTTGATAGGTTGCGGAACAAGAGGTCTCAAGGAAAACAGAAGACGTTTTAAGTCGTTGAAATTCTGAAAGGCTGCTTTGGTGCGAAAAACAGGCGATCCGTGGAGACCATTACGCTAATGAGTAGCACTTGAGAACATTCCAGGCCCCCACGCATGGGGATTTAGCCAGCCGACTGGACAATGAAGGGGATTCAGGAAGTTCATCACAAGTAGATGGCATGAACTGCATCTGTTCAAGTGAGCTAAGTTAATCCAATAAAGTATGAACTACGAAAAATAACCAAGTACACTTATCCTCCTCTTATAGATGTTACTGAAACATGGGTTTCCCCTGACATGCCAGATCAGGAGCTGGCAGTTGGTAACGTCGCACCGTTTCGCCACTTAGGAGGGCTATTAAGAGAGCACTTTAAGCTATTTCTTTTCCCGCAGCTCACCAAATCCACATTCAAGAGTTAAGAGGCCTCAAGGAGTCTTTAGGATTTGTCCTGGTGCGAACTTGACAGACGCAAAGACCAATCACTAATTATTCGAACTTGTTATATACCCACGAATACGAGACCAAGGAAGAACACGATAGCGTAGTCGGATGGAATAGTATATTTGGATGGTTATGCCAAAATACCGATGCGTTCCAACTAACTGGCTAGAGAGTCGAATACGAGCAATGCAACGTAACACGACAGCGTGCCAAATGGCGAGGATGCTTGACCGGATGCCTTCAGCTTAGCGAGTCCAGTTAAACTATCAAGGTCAGCATCAATGTCGAAGTCGTCAAACCCTAGGCTATTGATTTTGGGGAAGTGTATGACGCTACAGATCACTCCCCCCCTAGTGGGTTCGTGAGGACCCTAAGACGATACCAGCCGGAAGTAAAAACCCAGTGGTTTCTCCACTGGTAAAACTCTCCGATGGGCTCACTGCGTGAGGTGGCCCCTGGTTGTCTGAACCTTATTCTAGGGTGTCGTGGCGATTAAATAAATAAAATACAATAAATGAAATTGTACGTCGGTCGCGGTCATCTGTTCCTTTCGACGTTCCGTCCAGTGCTCGTTGCACCTGGAATATAAATAAAAGTCTTTAATACCACGAAAACGTTGCGTAAAAATGGGAATTATTTATATATAAACGTGTCGAAAAATAAAAATTTACGCTTATCTTCGCCGTTTTTTTAGTTTTTATTACATGGTAAATAAAAATTGATATAAAAAGGCAAAGTGTACGAGGGTTTGTGCCGGTAAATAAGAAAAATAGTGCCTCGAAAA